CCTGAAATTCATCAGGGCCACTCATGTTAAGCATCTCCTCACTTAGCACAGGAGATTTCTTTTTTCCTGCAGAGTTGTGGTGGGTTTAAGCCTCCCACCTCCAATCCCTCATACTGCCCTACAGCATCAGCTTCAGGCCTGGGGACAGGAGTTGTACCTAAGCATTTTTCTAGAGAGAAAACGAGATAAATATTTCTATCACTACAGCTCTCCACTGCTAAAAACAAGAGGTTTTGCATTTTAAAAGAAAAAATTGGTCAAAGCAGTAAAATGAGGATTTATACTTACGGGATGTATTCTTCCAACAGCAAGAAGCAATTGCCCTTAATGAACTTTAATCTTTGTTTTCATGTGACTCTCTTGAAATTGGGTTACTTAGTATAATTAGAAGAAGAGCTGCTTTTAAATTAGAACTTTCTAAGGGAAGAAATGATGAGGGAAAACAAAAGGACAGCTGATTCTATCTCCTTTCTTCAGTCAGTCGGAATGGAAGCCTTTCTCAAGACTTTAAATGATAATCCTGGTGCCCGGTCATGTGCTCTTCATGCAGGGCTGAAAAGGAAGTGATAATTGAGCATCTAATTGTTTATGCTCATTGCCAGTATATGTACTGCAAAGCAGTTTAAGGAACACTTTGCAAAGGAGTTAGTATAGAAGATTAATGTATTTTAAGAGTGCAGCAATACATTTTATATCAATGGTAAGGATTTAATGATAGTATGAAAAATAGTTTACCTGTGTTTTCTTTGTTTTGAAGGCTGCTTGAGGATGAACTGCTTCAATTAAAAACACACAATGTACTCCTAGGATTGTTCCACTTATTCCCATTGAAGTGTATGTTTGGAATGAAAGTTTTCCTTTAAGTTTTGGAAGTCTTAGATGAACACACTATATTTTAGTGATACTTGATTTTCATTTGGGCCGTTAGTAATTCTGTCTTTCAGCAATAACTATTATGACTAAAATATTGGGAAAAAAAATGTATTTTTAAATTGTTATGAAATTTCACAGCTGGCAGGGATGGCCAATATCCTGTGAACTGGGCCTGGTGGGTGCCTGGAATACATTCCTTATTTGAATCTGCATTTTTCTGGCTTTTTATCATGCTATTAGACTTTTCCTTGTGCCAGTTTGTGCTACAGCATCGATGTGCTGACCAAAGCAAGTGCATTTTAGCTCTCTACCCTATTTTTAAACTATGTGCCATATTCCAGTGTCAGTTTTATCAATGCTATATCTCTTCATTACTTCCCTAGATCATAAGGAAATTTCACCCTAACCTCAGCCCTGTTGCTGCAGTAATATATGGAGATAGTTGTTAGGTTTTGGCATTGGCTAAGAGTTGCCACTTTTCAGGAGAGAGTTTTTCACACAGTTCTTGCTGACTGCCTTATCACTGTTTATCACACTGGTACAGTGCCACATCATTCAGGTTTGATCAACACTGACTTTCCAGGTCATTTAGGAAACCCTAGGAACACCAAAAGTACCATCATGTTTTCAAAGATACTTGTCTCACTGACAGCAACTTTGAACCACTCATCCAGTTCTTGGCACTCTGAATATGCAGTTTATTCATTATACTGTAATTTTTTTCTCATCCTTAACATGTGGTGCTAAGTCAAGCACCTTAAAAAATTAGTACAGCTATGACATTATCTTCTAACACTCAAGCCTGTAATCTCACCTTAGGCTCATCTCAGACCTATTTTTCCATTAGACTTGTTGACAGGCACACATAATGTTTGAATGCTTCATTTAATTGTTAGCTGTTCTTCTGCTTCATTACTTTTCTTCTTGTCATTATCTGCTCCTCCCCACAACTGAAGGTATGAATGCCACAGTGAGGACAGGCGAGTCAAGGTCCATGCATTTACAGAAGGCTGTACAAGCCTATGTGCAACAGGCAATTATCATTACTTAAGAGTCGGTCTGTGAACTGCCTGGTTGTTGTTATATGGATTATGATTTGGTTCAAGATGCATAGTTGATTAAGTAAGCTTTCCATGATCCAAAGCAGACTGGTTTTGTTCAAAGAAGCTCGTTCCTTTCCTTGCCCATCCAATTTTCACTACTCAACCACAGTTCGATAGCACTGAAACAGGTGGGCTTGGAGAAGTCCCTGAAGAACCTTGTCAGCACTCACGCTTCCTTTCCTTGTCCCAGTTCACACTATAGGACTTGTTGGAGAATTTACTGGCTGATTAGCCAGTAAGTACAAAACCTTTCTTTTACTATTACTGCTGCCACTGACCTGCAGTCAGCATACTGCACGATCTCAGCAGGGATCAGCTTGCACATCACTCTCAGTCAGAGCAAAGACTGAGGGAACCTATGGTGCCACTGGCTTCCCCATCTCCTGCTGCACCACACAGCAGCAAGTTACTCTGATAGAAAGTTTCATCCTTTAGACATCCCCTAAAGTGAAAGCAGACCTGCCAATAGCTGCACTGGCCTTTTGTATTTAAAAACATTAGTATGATTGTCTAAACAAGGCTTGCCAGACAGGTCTAGGCAGTTTGTGATTGCATGGGTCCCATTTTCACTTAAATTTTGACATGATCTTACCAGTCCTGCCTTCCTCTGGAATTTCCCCAGTCTGCCAGCATGTGTTTAAAATGAGCACTTCTGCTTCTTGATTTTTTTTTTCATTCTTAACACTGTTACAGCACAGATCTAGAAAACGGATCTTGGGGAAGTGTTGGCTTTTGTAACAATGACTTTTTAAAACCTATTAACTTCATAAGCAGTGGCTTTACCCTCTACCATTTGGCTGCCCTGCACATATTCTGTCTGTCATTACCTTAAATAACTACTAATTGCTTTCTACTTCCCCTGACTTCTCTCTCTCTTTTTTTTTTTTTCTTTTTTTTTTTAAATTTTATTTAATATCTATTCTGCTCATCCAGGTAGGGAATTTAAGTGAAAGTTACTTCTTCATCTTTCTTTTGTAAAATAGGGAATTAGGGTTTTTCTAGCTTTACAAGCTCTTCTTAGAGGAGTTCCAATCATGGTTTCCACTTTTCTTTGTAGGCAAAAGTTTTCTTCTTTTGTTAAATCAGGTGGTTAGCTAGTACTAATTGGTGATGTTCTTCTGCCCATATTTATGGCCCTGATGCCTAGGAAACCATCTTCAATGACATGTTTTTTAAGGCATTAAGCCCAAAGCAGAACTGCCTCATGCTCTGTGCTCTACTGTTTTAGAAATGAAAGATGAGGCACTCCTGAAATTCAGCTGATAGCTCATACCTGGAACTGAACTTTTAAATAATTATCACCTTTATGAGAAAAAATAACAGTTGTCCCTTGCTGCCATAGTTTCTTACGTAGAATCAGATTCTATGTTTCTCTTGTTTCTACAAACTAGGAAATATGCACATGCTGTGCAAAGCCTCCAAGCACATTATTGAACCTCTCAAATACATCCCCATGGGTACATGGAGGTTCTCAGCAGTGAGTGAGCAGGTAAAACATGTTCAGAAAAGTCCCAGTGGCTCAGCATTCTATCTGAATTATGCATTCTTTTCTCTTCAGGTACATATGATTTGCTCTTGGTCTTTATTCTTCATCTTCAGAACCTGAAAAGTCCTCTTTCTTTTTGGAGCAGACTGCAGCTTTTTACTACATTGATATTTCTTGCCAGGTCCCTACTGCATTACCATAATTTGAGCAACCCCAATTATTGATCTCACCTTACATCAATATATCTTGTCTTTATTGGCATCTATACATAGCCATTTGATCTCATAAAACTTTACATTATTTGGTTGAGATTTCGTACTATATTTCTTTTCCAAGTAAATCTGACAAAATCAGAGCATTTTACTGCAACTAAAATAAACTACCCTCAGAAATTTTCTCCAAGAGAAAAAATACAAGACTGACATTACCTGCAAAACAACTGCTGCCTTTATAATTTACAGGAAATTCATAATTATCCCAGAAATCATTTGCATGTTGTTAATGGCATGGGAGGTGTTCATGCCGTTGCAGGTTTGACAAAGCAGTGTATCTCCTCTGTACAGGTACTACATGCAGTTAAGTTTACACTGGAATGAAGACATCTATTATTTTTATTAGCAGATCTAATAATGCAAACTGAAAGAAGTACATAATTTTCACTTTCAGAGGTGATACCACCTGTGAAGTAAAAGGCTTATGAAAGAATTATAAAAGGTAATAGCAATTGATACCACCGTGCAGTTTGTTTTGGTATAGTAACATCCATGGTATTGTAGTTTCTTTTGTGAGACAGAAAATATGTCTCAAAATATGTTTTTCATGCAGATGTCATCAGCAACATAGTTAAAACAGAAGGTCTGTAAAAGTACTTTTAGGAAGCTGTGTAAAAACGGGAAGCACACCATTAAAGGAAAAAGAGACATTCCCTTCTCAAATATACTGAAATAAAATGAACACTTCTCAAATTAACTTAACTCTATTAAAATAAAATAACTTGATAACTATCACAGGTAGTTAAACCTGCAGATTTTAATGAGTCATGTTTATGAGATTACAGTGAAATATGACACTTCAGGTAGTTCTGACAGAATTTTCTGTTCTCATGTAGATCAGCCTTTTGATTTCATTTGGTACAGGTGGCTGAAGTTCTGGAAGGAACAGGACTTCTCACATAAGAAAATCAGTAACCACATGTTGCAGACAAGAGACAGGAAAATAGAAACGACAGAATACAGTAGTAACTCACAGGAGCCTACTGTCAGTGGGAAGATGCATCTTCTAACTCTGTACTATGGCAGAGACTTCCTGGAGAAATGCAGTCTGCCAGAACTGAGCTTCAGTTGGTGTCTTACGCTTGTTGTGTCCTCTGTGAGAAAAACAATGCTCATAGTTCCACACCGTCAGGCACAGCACACGGACTTCATACAGGGTCTCTCTCCTCTAGCCTTTTTCAGAGCTTCAGCTCTGTTTCTCACTGGAAGATAGCCTGTATTTCCATCACGGTGTTCAGTATAATAATACACTTCGACTTAAGATTGATGAAAAAGTGCTTATACACAAAGTTCTTGTTTAACCGGTAAGATGTAACTGATACACAGATCCTTTCCATCCAAAGGAGAACTGAAAAGTACAAATCAGGCCTGCTCTTCAGTATAACCCTGTGCATTTATAAAGAACATACATAGAACCTGCTTTTGCTGAAAACAGCAAAAAGCTAGAAGAATAGGAAGGTTTTTTTCTAAATTTTCAAGACAGCCTTCACACAGCCCTGTGTCCCAGCAGATGCCTTTGCCACCAGTTACCCAGGAAAGCCTCAACCTGCTGGGCCCTACAAGCAGCTTGTGCTCATGAGCATTGATTTCCATTGTCTCTGGCAACGTTAACGTGAACCCGATTTTACCTCCTTCTATTCAGCCTCAAATAACAATAACTGACATGCCAGTCAGTTTTACTGCCTCTACACAGAGGCGTGATTCATAGGAGCCAGCATCACTTTCCAGCATGAGAGTATTTTTATAGTAACTTGCTGAAACCACTTATGTGCTAATAAAAGTGGGAATTTATTTAAAGAAAAGATACTGCTGGAGACTGTGTCTATGTTGATGTTTTATCTTGTGTTTACTTTATTTACAACTGCAGAAAATAAACCAAATCCATTTTGTAGGTGAATGTAATGCTGTTCAGTAATGAGACTTCTTGCTTCAGGAAATTTGATCTTTGTTCTCCTGGATGCATTTGTCTATTCTTTCTCACCCAGCAGAGTATTAATACTATCTGACAGAGAAAAAGGAAGTTGCACTATGATGTACTTCCATAAGCCTGACTTTTAGATTCAGTATGTGAAACACAACCAGAGGAAGCCTCTTATGGTCACATAAGAACATTTTTCTCCTGCCTTTTTCATCACTTGCTCCCACATCTCTGTTTTAAAGCATTTTCTTACGGACTTTTTTTTTTTTTTTTTTTCAAAAGTCGTGGGTTTTTTGCAAACCTTTATATATTCACACAACTCAGTTCACATGGGCAGGAGCCGCTGAAGCTGGAACAAAACCCGTGCCTGTGCTGCTGATCATGTTTAGTGGAGGCTTTGGCTGCCTGGCCACAGAGGAGACGCTTCCCAGACACGTTTGCTGCATCTGGAAGGAGATTCAGACGCGCGTATAAATCCTCCGGGGTTCTCTCTCCCTACCGACAGTTCGCTTCTAGATATGGTGAAGCTGCTTCTCAGCCGGGCCTGGCACGTCGCGCTGCCCCTC